AACAACCAAAAACAAAGTGGGCCATATTTACATATAGTACAAAAGAAGTAAGAAAAATTACAAAACTTTTTAAAGACACACAGATAAAAGTAGCATTCCGCACACGTAACACAATAGAAAACATACTCAAACAAAAACCACAATTAGATAAATACAATAAAAGTGGCATATACCAAATGAAATGTGTAGATTGCCCATTGAAATACATTGGACAAACGGGCCGAACATTTAACGCTAGATATAAAGAACATCTACATGATATTAGAAATAATAATTGCAATTCCGGGTACTCAAATCACATACTAAATACGGGACATTCATACGGAACAATAACAGACGTAATGGAAGTTGTAACAACGGGAAAAAAGGGTAAACATTTGAATACATTAGAGAAATACCATATATATAAAATAAGTAAGAAAGGCCTACAAATGAATGACACACACATAGAAACATACAATCCCATATTTCAAACTATATACGAAATCTATACAAGCTAACGGTACCTCCCTCCCCCCACTACCCATTCCCCCTCCAACACTCACGAACATAAAACACAGCACACAGTACACCAGACAGCAAACGTATTAAAGATAAGCAGCGACACACACAGAGAGCGCCTACACTGAGTAAGTACAAATAACAGTATAAACATATAAGAATAACATAACATGACATAACATAAGATAGTAACAGGAATATTTGTATATTACAGACAACACATGAACAACGATAAAAACAAGAAGTGGCCGCTGCAGCACCGTAGATATAGGGCATGTACCCTGAAAAAATTTTAACTAAAAATTGAAAAAGAAAGAACAGAGATCTTATAGACATTTTAACTTGAATTAAGTTTTAAAAAGTGCTAATTTAAAAATCAAATCGACGCGTGTAGATTAACAAAGATTTTATACAATTAGAAAGACTGGTAATTTTAAATTTTAAAAAGCAGTGTAACAGCTACGTGAGTGATACACACCTGATGATGGCCATTTAGGGCCGAAACATGTAGTGTGGAGGAGGAAAAGAAGTAAAAACTACAATAAAAATTTGTTGCACTTAAGACGGTATTTATCCATATATATTGTGTGAGTGTAACAGGATGCTGAAATATAATATTGTTACACCACATAATGAGCTAAAAATCTCATGAATACTCCATCTGAAAGGTTATTAAACTAAAATAAACTAATGTGAGCTGCAACAAACTAGGTATGCATAAAGCTGCGAAATTATTTAAACAGCGTAGCTGAGCAAGAATAGTTTCTTCTGTTTAACGTTATTCCAGAATATTTCTCGAATGTGCAATAATGCAAGTGTTTTCTTTTTCTGGGTGATTTGTCAGAAAGAGTTGCGTGATCTGCATGCACACTGTAGTGGACACTTGTCGTGATTGTTCCGCCTAAATTACAGACTACGACATAAACCCTGATGGTGACGCCGAAGCCATTTAGACTCAATTGCTAAGCAATGAATTGAAATTACTGCGACTGGGTCTCTCTTTCTCTCGGTTTATATTTTTGTCTGTATTTCTTAATCATTATCTGTACCTTTCTCTCTGTAACTTATTTCTCTTTTTCAGTCCTGCTCTCTCCTTTACCTCCCTTCATCTGTTTTCTACCGTTCTATCGTTCTTTCTTTGTTACAATTTTCCTTCAAACCCACTTTTTCATTGAAGACACCAATGGGCCAAATCACTATTGAAAATGTTTCTCCTTCTGTCTGGGCATATTCAGAGGGTCCCTCTCCCGCCCCCCCCCCCCCCCCCCCACCANAATAGACGCAAGCCGGATGGATGTCCGTGATTTATATTGTATCTGGATACGTGAGAAACGTGTCTACAAACTAGCACTTAGAGTATGCGTGGTAGGTTGCGCACGGAACTGAAATTGTTGACCGGATATACGCGAATAATAATGAACACAGAAACTAAGGAGAACTATTGACGGGCCTGCGCAGGAAAGAGTACCTGAAAGCTTAGCCGTACTAGTAAACTTGAAATATCCTACAACAGAATAATCAGTCAATATAATGATGAAGAGATGCTGACTGAGGGGCAATAAGTGAAATAATTATATATAATTTATTAAATTTTTGTCGAAAATTTTCTTCCTAAATTTTGTCTGAAAGTTGTGGTTTTAAGTTTTAACTACAGATCACAGACAGACTGTCGGAGTTCGGAGAATCATGGATGATATCTGGAGAACATAGGTTACTTTTTCCTACCAGAAATGTGACAATGACGATTTCTTTACGACAGGAAAATTTTAGATTTTTCTCACTGTTACCATGTACAACAATGGGGATCGGATTTGCTATAAGAGCTTGTAATAGTGTACGTAATGCATTGCAATACAGATAGAAAAGGTAATTTTACCCTGTGGTTGATTAATTAAGCACCACCCCATGAAGACTTATAGGGGAGTGGATGTACAGCTTCATCATTTCTGACATGAGCACTAGATGTGTGTGAGTGGTCAGCTTCACAACCCAGTCGCTTTACCTCTGGGGCAATGACCTCTGCTACCCACGGGATAGGAGCCTGGGTGGGTCCCAGAGCCAGTCTGGAATCTGTGGAGTAAAGGAAAATCTTGGCCTTGCCGTTGATCCAACCCCGGCCTCCAGCCCCTAGCCCATCGCTTGGATCTCCATATCTGATCCCAGCGACTGTCAAAAGGAACGGAAATTGATGAAATAAACAATTGCCGGTATAATTACAATCGCCCGAAGACGAGAATAGAACCAATATACATCAGAGAATGAGTAATATTAAATCATATCGAACTTTCCTTTTACTACAAGTTATAATTAAAACGGGGGGACTTAGTACACAGAACCCTGAATTGTGTACAGTGAAAAAGGCATTTTAAACATATGTTTTACAATTCTGTACTTATTCACGGAAATCTTAAAATGAAAAATATTGAACTCCATGAATTATTTTGAATTGATAGTAATAGTCACTGGTTCACTGCTTCTTTGAATGGTGAATATGTTACAAACTCGTGTAATAGAAATACGAATTATGCCAAACGCTGTAAGTTCCAGTCGTCTGGAATCCTCCATTAAACGCTACAGCCTTCACCGGGCAAATATTCAATGGCAGACCTCCGTCTCATGAAATACCATCAGAATATTGAAGGCAACACAGGGCACAGTAAACGCTGAACATATATGTGTACAGCAAATGTTTAATGCGCATTTGGTGTGATTTAAACTTGGAGCATGCTAAGAGCCCGACAAGGGTTGGTAGGGGAGGGTTGACAAGGTTTGTTGTACAAGGCGATAGAAGGTATGCCAGAGAAAAGGACAGAAATGGGAGAATTATATTTGACTTCAACTGTAATCCGTTCTCATTACTGTGTTTGTATGTGAGGAATTTACTCATCTATGCCCTTTTAATTTGACGCCTAACCGTGCACTGCCATGGGGAATGCTAGAATGTTGGTCAGAATACTTCATGGTAACATGATGCTGCGGATACAGACTCATGGAAAAAAATGATACTCTTAAAATTGAACTTGGAAAAGGAGTACGAGTATATGAACTGGATTAAGCTGCATAATATTTTTTTTACGTTATCAGCCCCATTTTGGTAAAACTCATTGCATTCTAAGCACACGATTTATGGTTAAATTATAAGAGTATTTCAAAGACGGCCATTGAAGAGACAGTGAAGCTCTAAATGTGGAAAAATATTTCCCCGAAAATGCGCAATAACCAAGCATTTCAGATCTTAAATGTGTCACATATACGACATATATTTTGCCACGTGAAGCCTCTCCTACTTTAAAAACAGCCTTAAATTTGTTCGGCTTTCACAATTTGCATAAATGTGGCTTTATGACAGAGTAATAGAGTAATGACTATTTGTGTACAGTAAAAGTCATGCAGCTACAGAACTGAGAATTTCTGAAAATGGCTGGATTTCCATTGCATTTGTTGAAATAGAAATTTCACTAATTTGTTCAGGTTCTTTAATGTTTCTTTATCATATTCTGTCATAAAGAGACAGCCATATGGACTACAGCAGATTTGCTGAATAAGATTATAAGACAGGAAAAGGATAATAAAGAAACGAAGAAAGAAATAACGAAGGATAAACAAAGAAGGAAAGATCTGAGATCCTCATGGCGGTGACTGAAAATTACCGTCTTGTTCGATGTGACATCATGAATGCTGATTGATATTTACCAACGCTGTCTCCAGCTTCAGAGTAAAAGAACACCTTAACCAATCACGTTATACGAGTACTGGCTGGTTTATCCAGGGATTCTATCCCTGCTTTCCTTCTATCTATAGCGTGTGTCCGGATGAAAGGTATCCAAAATATAAAATCATTATATCTCAGAAAGAATTTATTATACACATTAATGGGTTATACCATTACAACGGGAAACATCAACATTTCTTTCATCATATATAACTTTCTCAATAAAGTTAAATGTGGGCTCCCTTGGTGGCACGACAAATATCCGGGCTTGAAGCATATTTGGTGTTACCGTAGCTACATCGTCCCTCATGAGGGCTTTCAGGTGTTGAAGGTCTTTGATCTTAACCTGGTAGGAAACGTTCACATAACGCCACAAAAAAAAATCCACTGGGGTTAAATCTGGCGACCTAAGGGGCCAAGCGATTGGTCCACCTCTGTCAATTCATATCCCAGCCATCTCTCTGTCCAGGTGATTCCTAACATGGTGGCAAAAATGTGGCGGCCTATGCGCGTAAGCCGCGTATGAAAAAAAACACCTTCAGAGTTCTCCTTGCCGATGACATAAACCAGATAAGTGTATGACAATTCCTTTCTGAGATATACATTTTTTATTTTGGATACCTTTCATCAGGACACCCTATTCTTACCACTTCTACAACCAGAATTTTCCCTTCTACCTCGAAAAGAGGGGGCCGTGTATCTCCTAGGCTTCAGTAAAAATCTGTCAGACTACACGGCGTCATATTCAAAAAGACAGTAATATTTAGAAAGAAAGGAATCTAAGAAGAACAAAAAGGACGAGCAGAAGAAAAAAACGCAAACAAAGAAAGGGGTAAAGAGAGAACGATAGAAACATGTATATTAAATTAGTACTTGTGAACAGAAATTAAGGCGGTACTGTGCTTACCTGTGACACACACATTGTCTGCAGTCGGATCTTCAAAGTAGCCGCTGCTACACTGGCATTTGCTGCTGATGCAGGAAGAATATGGGATTGCATTCGTGCAGTCTGTCGTGTCCAGGCAAGGGTCACCCAGCGCTACGAGCAGAATACAAGTTCCGAGAACAATGTCTTCGTATCAGAAATATATCGATCAATGTCATGTTATCTCATTGCTGATAGACGGCCTACAAATCACTAAACATTCTTCGGCAGTACGCGAAGTGAAACGAGAATTTCGTAAGAAAATTCCATTACAATACAGAATTGTAAAAAAATACTGAAAGAGACGAAATGCGGTGTGAGATATGATAATTAAACTTTCGAATATCAGGCCAAGCATAAGAACAATCTGCGAAAAGGCAAGCGAAACAACTCTGACAACTGAAAATTGTGGCGTATTAGATTTAAGCTGCGTCTTTCGTATATATGACATGTGATATGTTGATGTCATATCCTTGCTTAACTTTTACTTATTACATAGCATTTCTGGTGTAGGTTTCTAGTTCCATAGACAACTGTTTTAAGGTTCCGTGGACAAATTATGCTGTGGAACATTGTCCTAACGAAGTGAAGCAGATAGGACTGGCTGTGAACCACAGAAAATACTTACGTATTGATATGATATGAAGATTTCTATCTATTCCTATAACCGGAATTTTCTGTTTATGCCGGGACACTCATATGCGCAAGCGCAAAGTGTGTAACAGGAATCCAATATAATTTAAAGGGAAAAATGTCCCGGTACTTAGTTGATCAAGAACCACGCCATAAATATATATGAGGGTGTGGAAGTATAGCTCCACCATTCTTGACCTCGGCATTAGAAGCGACCGCTTTACCCCTGGGGAAAACTCTCCCTTACTCATTGAATAGGAGGATAGGTGGGCCTCACTGGTCTGGACACTGTGGAGTAAAGAAAAAATCTCTCGACTCTTCCGGATAACGAAACTGCCTATCAAGTCTGCAGCCCGTCGCTATTCCACGAGTGACTGCGTCAGAACAGCAGCAGCTATACAAAATATAAACGGACACTTGCGGGTTCTTAGAGGGACAGAGTACACTCTAATGAGAGCATGTAGAATGTATAGAATTCCCCTTATAAGCCCTCTGTTTGCTAATTGCAGGTTCAGTACAGGTTTCTTCTATCACGTACAATTCTATAATTCGCTGCTCTCGGCGTTTGATGCATTAGGGTGTCTGGTTCATGCTCTGGCCCTGTTCCGGCCAGTTACGAAAATTCACGGCATCCACTGGGAAGAGGACTCAGTGACTGCAGAAGTGGCGTGTACACCATAGCGAAGCGGGGATTTGACGTACTCCTACGGCTGTTTTTCATCCTGAACCAAGCCACTTTACCGAGATATCCCGTCTCATGACGTATGTTACAGTTACGTATTATGCAACAGATTCTCTGTATCTTCTATTAGACATGGTTAGTTTCGCTTGTACGAGTAATAAAAGTTGTCGCCGTGCTTAATTAATTTAGTACTTTTGCATGAAGACACATGGGGGGAATGGAGGTATAGCTCCACCATTATTACCTCGGCGCTAGATGGAGGTGAGTAGTCAGCTACACGTCATATCCGCTTTACATCAAAGAAAAGAACCTCCCACAATACCCATTAAATGGGATACTGGTTGGGCCCCAGTGTCGGTTTGGATATTGTAGAGAAGGGAAAAATCTTTATCCTGTCGACATTCGAGCTGCGGCCGTCCAGCCTGCAGCTCGTAGCTGTACATTATTAATTTAAACTGCACGAACGGACCCCGCTTGCAGTAATTCAGATACCTCATAGCGTCCTCATGCTTCCGGTCAGGAAAGAGAAAATCCGACTGGAATACCTTTGACATCAGGAGTGCAGTCACCCCTCGTGACGTGGAATCCTTCCAAGCAAGTGCATGTGTTCGCTACACAATGCACATTCCCGCTGGTCACTACGCAGTCATATGGATATTCACACTCTTCTCCAATCCCTAAAACAATAGATAGTGAAGCGAAATTAATGTGATATACAGCTCGAAGTACGTATTTGTCAATAATAGAAGAATTACAAATTATTTTGTATTTTTGTATTTTATCTAGTGTATAACGGCATTTCTCGTTGGCGTAGATAGGGTTGACAATGGTGAGTGATGAATCTGTCAGTATGTGGAAAGGTTGATGATCTGTTTTAAACTAGTAATCCGGTAATTTCCTGGAAAGCCTGAGTAAAAATATGAAATTATAAATCATAAGAGTCAACATGGAACCTCCACAATAGAAATTAGTGGTGAAAATCACAAAAAGGCAACATTCGAATGTGTTTTGTTTCTCAAATCTGTATAATTTTGGTCAAGACAGATCTGTGTTCTGATTCACCTGCGTTATAATGCACATGAATATGGAGTTCAAAATACGCATGGCAATTATTATTAATGATCATGTTGCAAGAATGTATATCAAATTTAATCAATATCTGCTTTAGGATTAGAATAATTATTTTCCTCAATTTGAATGCTTCCATAACACTCAAGATATTAGAAACCTGAACTCGAAGACTGCTATTGTTTTGTTGAAGACTTCGGTAAATGTATACGATTATTGTATTAAATTCAGTTTTAATGTTGGCGGGAGAGAAATTATTGTCGTATTTGACATTTCCAAGAATACTTAATTTGTAAATGTACGCATGTATCTACTTCCTTAAGATTAATTTTAGATCTTGAATTGTTAATATTTTAAAATATAAACTAGGCAACGGTTCGGTAAACACATTTCCTAGGTCACACAGTCAAGAACTTCGGTTACTAAGGTTTTGATACGCGCAGTGTAACTTTAACTGATTAAACGGCGATACCTATGACAACGAACCTCCAAAGCGCGGTAACGGCTAGGAACGCGATGACTCTACTCTTGAAGGAGGTGATCCCCACACGGCTCAACCAGAACCTACCTCAGGAAAAGAACTGACCAACAGAAGACAGAATAAGAGAGAACACAGAAGACGGAGTCGGATGTCAGAAATGAAATCTTTACTTTATGTGTTATCACTGTTCGTAGTTACGAAGTATTACAGTTAAAGTAACATTGTGTTGCAACTAATTGTAGTTCCGTCTGATGAATGTCCATTTAATCCGGAACCCATGGGATATCCACTTTATAGGAAGTGAACACTGGCCTTTGATTGGCGAGCAGAGCTGGATTTCATCCACGAAACGGTGTCCAGCAGCACACTGGCACAAATTTCTGTTACCAACAGCCGTGCATATAGCATGTTCGCCACTGAACCTGCACTGCTCGGGCACTTGACACTGCAGTCCGTAAAGCCTGCCTGTAACCAAGTGAAGACATTTAGTGACACATACTTAAGGATTTGGCAGTGATATTCGTCAGATTCTCCTCGATGTAGCAAGTTAATTTACAGACTTAACTAGAAGCATTTTATCTATCTTGTGGACCTCATTGTAACGCAGTAGGAATTAGAAATCTAATAGAAAGATTAAACTAGTTTGTTTTTTTTCAGAAATTAATTATAAATATTAAGTCTATGGATCTATATTTTGTTTCTGAGCACACAGAATTTTCAAATAAATTCCTTGATAAATTATACCTACGTGCATAATTTGATTTATATAACCCTTATGAATGAATGAATGAATGTATAAGGGGTGGGCCTTCTCGGCCCTTGCACCGCGACCTACAATGATCTATTGTGCTCCCCTTTTTGATTATCCCCTCAACAATCGTGCGCTTCGAATGAAGTGCAGGATTTTGTATGTGGGGATGTCGAAATAGTCACTTGGTTCCATAAAGTATTGACTATTGACCCAACTGACGTAATCTTAAATAAGCTAAGGCCTTACATTCACACAGGATATGTGTGGCTGTTTCATTTTCTTCTTGACCCCTCTCACAAGTGGGACTATCACTTAGTCTCAGTTTGAAGAGGTGTCCTTTAAGGTGACAGTGTCATGTAAGTAGTCCTACCACCCATCGTAGCTGGTTCCTGTTTAACTTCAACAGTTTCTACGCTCTATTAGCAGAGGGTCCTCGTATGAGTCCCTTTGACCCTTATACCTCTAGGTCTAAATTTGGCCTATTAATTTCATATCCCATATATAATTTTTTTCATAAAACGCTACTTTATTTATATCATTTGGATGCAATGCCTAAGATTACTCCAAAATTTGGAAGACGTATCAGTTTGCGAATTATCTGCGAAATTACTAACAAAAATTCATTTTAATTTGAAATTGAAGAACTTCACTGAAATAATATGTAATGAAATTTTACTTTGATTTTTGTCGTCAAATGCAGCCCGGTCGTTGAATTTTAAACGTCATGGACTTGACTTATGTGCGGGTATCTTCCGAAGTAATATGGCGCTGAATTCTCAGTGAAAGCACAGAAACCGTTCTTTCCTTGGAACTATGATGTGGATAATAAACATTCCTATTCTGACTACCACAAAGCCTCCTATGTAAGACGACCAAATATTTAATTCAGAATGAACTGTGCTATTCTAAAGCTACGGGGCAGTTCAGAGGGAGCTACCTGTAAAATAATTGAAAAAATTGAGACCTAAACAAGTACACCATCTCCTATTTTATAAAAATTTAAGTAACAGCTTTTCGCTTTAACAGTTTTGAAATATTGATGTTTCTTTTTCTCCTACATCCGCTTCTGCTAAGACGAAAATGTGCCAAGCCGTGTGTATTTTAGACGCCTTGCCCCAAAACGAATAGCTTCCCATTGACTCCATTTTATCGATATTTTCCGTTTACTTTTTTTTATATTTCCTTTAATTAGTACTGATAATTTAAAAGGCATAGCAGATCACATTGAATTTGTGCTCTAAATAGCTAACAGTCTTTGTCCCTTTCAACACTGGGATCATGGGTTGGAATCCCACTGGGGACTTTGGTATATGTCCGGTTTTTTCTGTTATCTTCTTGTCTTAGGCTATCCTAGGATTCCTACCAAATCTCGAAAGGGTTCACATTTCAGAATTAAAATGTCAATTGGAATAGGACAGAAGACTTTCTCTGTAAAAGCGAAAGCTAAAAATAAGAACAATTTCAGATGAATTATTGATAGTTGTCATACATACAGACATACAATAGGTTACGTGTATCAGATGTTTACTTTACTTTATTATTATCATTTGTTTACTTATGTACTATATATGGCCACTTCTTTTATTATTTTGACTTTTGAAAATAAATCATAGCTCAAGTTATTTGTTGCTTAAATCTTTGTCACATAACGAAGACCTATATGACATGCCTCATAAGACGAACACACATGAAAAAGTGTGAATTATTTCGTTTGTGGATTGGCTCACATATTGCTTGTCAACAGAAAATGAAGCCGGCATCCATCAAAGACAATTGCAAGAGATCTGTCGATGAGAAACAATATGCACATGTAAAAATAGACAAAAATGGAAGGTGTATGTGTTTTTGTGTCTGAAATAGTCACATTCTTGTAGTATTTTGGGTTCTCATAGCGGTTATTAAGATGAGTTCTATCTTCTGGGATGTAACACTGTGTAGTCCGTTGAAAATCAATAAACGTTTCGGAGGAACATGTCGCCTCTATCTTCAGGGCCGTAGTGTTTTATGCCTGTTTCATGCTTGTTCTTTCTTGACTTATTATTTGACCCTGAAGATGAATAGACATGTTCCTCCGAAACGATTATTGTTTTTCAACGGACTACACGTCGTTATATCCCAGGAGATAAAATTCCTCAGCCACTATCCTGTACCTACGACCTTCAATCATACAATTATTTGTAGCATAATTAAATTTGCACTTTCTCATAACCTCTTCCCCGCAAATTTATAGATTCTCGTCAATACAGTCACAACACAGAAATAATAGTTCTTCCTTAAACTCACCGATTCTGCACTCCCTGTTGTCTTGCGTGATAATGTATGGAGCTTTGCAGCGCAGTATGTTGCCCCTGCACTCTGCTCTGCTTATGTAGTCAATATCCCCTGTCTCGGAACAAGTCCCACCAAGATCTATGCAAACAGTTTAAGCCATAATTAAAATTCTATCTTAGTACCATTACATTGTCATAACTCCATGGATCAGGTTTATTCTTTAGAAGCTAACAGCCGCTTGGCCATTTAAGGAATTCATTGCCATTTTGGAAATCCAGACTTTCATTTCTGTGCAAAGAGGAGTACGATGTTGGATCACATCTTCAATGACATAAACCTTGTCCATTAATATATAATGTACTGGAATCGAACTACTAATGAGTACAGTACGGCCTACCGCATTATTCCAACAGAATGGCTATGAAGATTGCATTTGTAGGTTTGGTGAAGTACTGAAATTCAGATGGGCAACAAAGAATTACAACGACGGCACAGGATCATGTATTTATTTTATTTTAATTAGCCCTTGACTTAAAGTGAAGAAATGTATTAAATATTCATTAAACGATTGAAAGTAAATTTTCATTTATACTCTGATGATAAATTTTCGTATAAACGAATATCTGTGAATAATGTAACGTATTGGAGTAGACGGAATAGGGTCCTTCATAAGGAGTTAATAGTCATTCAACTGTTCAAGAAATCCCCCACATATTGTGAAACCCGACAGCCCATTCCCATATTTAAAACAGTCTGCTCAGGAGATTATCCTCAGCTAGCCCACACGCTCATACGCTGTTTCTTTAAGATACATTTTAATATTATTCTGCAAACGCACATAGGCTTCCCAAATGATCTCTCACTTCTGGTTTTCAAAGTAATTAATCTCCCCCACCATTCATCTACATGCCCAAGTTTTTCTCCTCGATTTCAACACAGATAATAAGACAACCCACTGGGTGGCACCTGCAAATGGTGAAACTCTTTTCTGTGAATATGCTCAATATCTGTAACGACGTGACTATTCAGTCAGGTGATTGCTGTAGTCTATCAGATGAATAACTCCGTGGTCTGCAGTCCGCAAGCGAACTATACCGACCGAGTGACCGCCAACTGTCGGGGAAGTTAGTGACAACTTTTGCCGATAATGGGTGTCGCGCGGCGTGAGCGCAACGGATTCCCACGAGCGCTAATCTCTGATCTCTAGACCGGAGTCTATCAGGTGGTAATAAGATACACAATAGAGGGGACTGTGAGTCATATTTTCTTTTCCGCAAACAGATAAAGAATAATGCTAGTTATTATTTATTGAGTATCGAATATTCATTTCTAGATTTGTGTTTTTAAGTAATATTCTCAAATATTACAAATTGTACAAGGATAAGGCCTCGAAATAGAGGGCGTTCCCATTTTCTCACAATACAGTTATTATTTATATAAATTTGCTAACTGTAAGGAAAGCATAAGAAACACAACTCAACGCGGCAACGCTACGATGTTTTTTGAATGGAATATAACCAACCACGTTTCATAGTTTCTACAGACCAATACTGAGAAGGTGGTTATGAATATGAACATACGTATAACAGACATTTATTTCGGGATTATTTCACAGGTTTCTGCAGAATTATGTTAGGATATTAATACTATACAGAATGTCCCAGAAAGAAAAATCAATATTCTGGGAGGTCGTAGTATTGGTCAGATCTAAAAAAAAAAAAGAGTATATGTACATGTGTCCTATTCCCAGCGGTTTCCAAGATACAGCTATTTCACTGTGCATTTGTTTAAATTTGAAGCTCAATATTGTCCTAACCTCCGGCCGTATTGCGCCACTGTCTGAAGCATGTGGATCGGTGTGAAGTGTCAGTTGGCCGTTATGACGTTTTGTAGTGATTTTGTAGGGGTGTTCTGAGAAAATGGCTCATATTTTCACAAATGCAGAATATGTCGATATGCTGTCTCACACGAGTTGCAAAGTGCATTAATGTTGAGGGTGAAATTTAGAAAAAAAATGTATGATTATTATACTAGGTAAACTGTACCAACATTGTCACTTGAACAATAAACACCGGTATTAGAAAGAATACTTAATATATTTCGCACCAACAATTTTGAAACTGTACAGTGAAATAGCTCTATCTCGGAAACCGTTCGGGGTAGGACACATGTGCATATATATATATATTTTTTTTTTTTGCTTCGAATGATCTCCAACAATACTGATCTTTCCTCCTGGCACACTCTGTGTAGGCTTGTATCACGAATTTTTCTCGTTTTCTCTGAACTTTATGTATAAGCAAAATAGTGTGTCATTCAGTGTTGCATAATCTAGCATAATTATGCTGTCCACAAATGCAGAACATACCTGGTTTACAAGAGCCATCAAAATTTGAGTACCCGGGTGTGCACACGCAGAAATTTGCGAAACATTCAGAATTTTCTATAGCAGCTGTGCATTCCTCATGCAATTCGCAAGCATCTCCAAGTTCTATCTTCGGAGATTCTGTTGTGATCTCCGTAGAGTAGTTAGACACTGAATTGCCTATAAGCAAGCAAATGTGTTAGAAACTTGAAACTGTATTTCAGCCATTTGTTTTGTTCTCATGGATTTGGCAGCCTCCATTTTTTCCTCTAAAATGCAGTTCACTTGATTATATTCAGTCTTGTTCACTTCTAATTCTGAATTTTTTTTTGGAGATTACTGTGTAAGACTTGAGATTTTCACAGCTGTAGTTGTGAAGAATTTTGTCTTCCGGGATAAAATGTCGTATAGTACTTTAAAAGTCAACAGATATTTTGCAGTAGCATGTATCTGACCGCTATGTCCTGCTTAGCTTATTCTTCGACCCTGAAGGTGGAGATGAAATGTACCTCCGAAACTCTGGTTGACGTTCAACAGACTATATGGTACTTTATCCTAGAAAATAGACCTATTTACGTTATTACTGTTGGTTAATTAATTTGGATTTGGTTTTTCAGAATTCCTGAATTGTGATGAAAGAGATTTCAATTGACTATGACTGAAAATTCCGATCACCGTGGCCGTGCGGTCTAAGGCATGAACTATCATCGCTCGCTCGAACGCTGAGATCGCGAGTTTGAATCCCACCCAAGGAATGAATGTGACGTAAAGTGTGCGTTTATTCTATGCTTGTGTTCTGTGTAGGTAGAGGGCTTGCAACGGGCTAGTCCCTTGTTCAAAGAGCCCTACCGACTGTCTATAGGTTCAAGAAACTGAAAAAGCGGTCAAGGCCCAACAAAGGGCCGTAGAGCCATAATAATAATTACAGAAAATAGCATCACAGTGAGTTTAAGAAAATGCAGGTATTTGTAAGGCTTTTCAATAATTGTCCTACAGTATTACAATTGTAGGTATTAATATCGCCAAATTAATAATTATAAGAGTACAGGAATACGAGTTTGTCGAAAATGTTTATTTTAATAGTTGAAGGTAATTAAAAATTTCCTGATTTTCTTTATTTGAATTATTAATTTAAGGAAGTTGCAGTTTCCTAAACTAAAATTATTTGTATTAATATAAAATGTGGTCTTGCGACGAGCTGATCACTCATCCAAGGAGTCCTATCGTCTGTAAAATGATCATGAAATTGAAAATCAAAACCAGGGCCCAAGGGAGCTGTAGAGCCAATGAAAAGAAATATGAAATGTGGTTTATTTTGACGCTGATTCATATCTTCTCATATTTTCAATAATAATTTTAATTGACGGGGTTGTAAGAGAAATTCTGGAGTAGATGTAACTTAGGTTATATTGAGAGATGTTGAGGCCATGAAAATGACGTATACAAAACCTTCTAACTCACCAACAAAAGACAATACGTTCTGGCTTCCTTCGGCAGTATTGACACAAATGTTACTCTCACAGTGGCCCGCTTCAAACTGGCAGTCCATGTCAAACACACATTCTTCTCCAACTGTAGAAAGAAAAGACAGTTACATTATGTGTAATGAAATGAGGCAATTTAATTCAATTTTCTTTTTCTGTAATGAGGGATAATGTGACCCATCTTAACTGACTCCACGAAACAGGATCTGTCTTGAAGAGCTAAGAGTTCGTTGGTTGGTACATGTACATATACACAGTATCATTCTCTTTCTGAGAGCAGTCCTCCGGAAAACTTAACCAAATGCAAATTCTCTCCGCCTCATGTTCCTGTAATGTTGATTTATGACTCATATATTTATGTACGATCTATTTAACGACCCGTCGTAACCTAGACTACATAGTGTAACATGTATGAGTGTTTATAGACGGGATTTGGATTGATAATTGGATTTATTGATCACTTCGAGGACGTAACTGCAAATAACTATAGCGATATTGCTAATTCATACCCTCTGCACTTCATTACAGCACATACCAAGTTTTCTCAGTCCGTTTTCACTAGCCATTTCCTGGTAACGGATCCCAACAATGCCCTCTGCTTACGTCCTTACTTGCTGGTTAATGTCTCATAACTGATTAAACTCAAAGTTAAAGTCACATTGCGACTGACGGTCAGTCAGTCATTCAGTCAATCAGTCAGTCATTCAGTCAGTCAGTCAGTCAGTCAGTCTTGGTGGCGAGCCCAGTCTGGGGCTTATGACCAGATATTTATTACTTGTTGACAGTTACGGTCTTGTTATTGTGGAGCGCCTTCTGTGACAAGAGGACGGGTCTGTCTCTTGTTAGAGTCATTGTCTGCAGTAGTAAGTCATTTGTCATAATGTAAAGGATATTTACATTTTTCATGTTAAGTATGTTGATAAATGTATATAAAATATGTACAGGGCCGTTGTCAGACCAGGCTCAGTACAGCAGATTACGCCCTATTTCTAGTAGCTTCGGCTACAACTGTAGTCTACTCACTTGAGCGGGCATATGCTTGACCGCCTCCAAGTTTAAGTCTTTTACATTTTCTATGTCGGGCTTCGCCTTGTCCAATATACATTTTTTTTTATTATTATTTCTTGCAATTTACAATCTACTCTACAAGGGAGCAATAAGTAAATATGTTGTAAGAAATCACTTGTTCGGAGTGATCATCCAGTGATGATTCTCCTATGTAGTATACTATGCATTATGTTGCTGAGTACGGCTACCCATCTTCAACACTGTGTTCTTTTAAGTCTGAGGGCCATTGTCGTTTTAGTCTTCGTCTGATGTTTAATGGGTTGCTTAGTTCAGTTACGCAACTGTTTTCGTGTCCCATTAGTCGGCTGTAGTATATGATAGAACATCTTTTGATATCTTCTGTAACGAATGGGATCTGAAGATCATTGTGTAATGTGAAGTTCGATACATACCATGGGGTGTTGGTTATGGAGCGCCGTACATTTGATTGGAGTCTTTGAATTATTTTGGTGTTCGAAGGCTTAGCACACCCCCACAGTTGAACTCCATACGTCCAAATCGGTTTCAATATACATTTTGTCCAATATTGCGAACATTTTCCTTATCATGATGTAACAACTGATTAAATACTAAACTTCTCGAGCTTATAACCCATGTGCACGGACCGCGTAGAAAGCATTGCCGCTTTGTTGCTGTTCTAATTTTTTGAGAAGCCGTTACTCAGTAATAGCTGTTGTATATTTGCTTATCTCGCAGTCGTTGCCCAGCAACGGATCCACATGCTACAATAGCATAGCGCCGAATGCGTGGGTCTTTATTAAGTAATGAATTGGAGAGAATGTGGAAGGAAGCGTACTTGGACTAATTTGAGGTACAGTCCCGGTATTGGCCTGGAGGGTCACCGTGAACCTGGGCCAGGCTATTCTATGAACCGACCGAGATTCGAACCTAACATCTGCGGTACACAAGTTAGAAACGTTGCCATTTGAGCCAGCTTGCTAAGAAATATTGTAAAGATACCTGGGTAAAAGAATTACGATACTTTTAAAGTGTGTATTATTGATATAGTTTGAACTTCGAGCCGTCGAGGAGAAACCTCGCGAAAGAAATCACAGATAACATCAACTGGAAACCGTGTGCAATATTTACATAGATCTGGGTAGGGTCTGTAGGTAAGTTTAACATATTATTTTCGAATATATATAGATTATATATTTGCCCACGTCATTGGCCTCTTATACCTTGGAATTCCCATCTTCCACAGAAAGAAAAGTTGGCAATATATTATACAGGAAAATGATAACTAGACTCATTGAGTTTAAAAAAACTTCAATTTTTAATTCTGAAAAGCATAACAGATTAATTCTGAAAACCATTTTTTGTTTCAGTTAGGAATTTGGAATAACTGTACAAAGCTCTCAATAAAACTTATTTTCCTAGGATAGTGAGATTGCTGATGTAACTTTGTTGAGTTAATGATCATCTGTTGCCTATAAGGGTTATATTCAACACGTCCATTTCTACAACTTCATCCAAATGTTAGACAAGAAAGGAAGATAAAATATACTATTAGCACTGATTGTGTAAGAGAAGGAACTTTCCACTCACCGTTGCCCATTCTTCGGCAGTAGCTGCGCCCTACCAGGTAGTAGCCTTCGGAACAATCGCATTTTTGTTCCACACAAGAAAGCGACTCATAACTGAAAGCCCCATAACAGTCATTATCCACAATACATGGCTCGCCATATCCTGTGGAGAAAAGATGTTTGAACCAAATAAACTGCAGGCACACGTCTGGATATGACACTGCTGGCGGAAGAATGTGGAATGTGGAGCCAGAAACCGACGTCGTCGTCTTCCTCTTGGGTTTATTCAGGCCACTTGCATGACAGAGCAATATCATGGCTAGACTGTCCATTATTTACGTATTGATCTTGGGGCCTACCCCAAGCCTCCTATCCGATAGAAGCTAGGGCCATTTTCTCATGCATAAAGCGGCCTAAGCCTCAGTTTAGTATTGGAGGTAAGAATGCATGAAACTATAAAGCGGAAACTTTATCTTTCTACTCAACTTACCTGAGCTCTTGTGGCACATTCCCTGTAAGTAATGGAAACCGTCCTTGCACGCGCATTTCCCCGACAGGCAGCTCGACCCTTGTCCCATTCTGGCAGAACACTGGGTGTTCTCTTCACAAGCAGAATCGTATGGAATAGCAGCCACTGTAAGTATAGAGCCACAAGCTCAAGCCGGATATTATTGTATTGAATTAAGTGAGTTCTTCTTGAGAAGCAGCCAGTCCTCAGCTACCCAATAATTTCCCAACAATTTATGGAGCCAGAAATTTAATTACCGTGTTCATAAGAGCCCTCCACTGGTCAGCATTAGATGAAAAGTATATTTAAATTATGAATGAAACATCTCCGACTGCTGCCTAATAGTCAGCACACAGGATCCTGCGGCCTGCATCTTGGTATGTCCTATTCCCCTTTTCGAATTTCCAGCTGATATTGCTTGCAAGTTCCAAGTTGTTGCTGCATACTTCTCATGCAACCTTCCCTATATGAAGCATTAAATTATACCCCCGTTCTGAAGGCTACCAAGTTACAAATCTTTTCAAATGTTATCACCATTAATAAAGAGCTCAAAATGTCATTGCCACTGTCTTAAGGTACCGTTTCTTTCAAATGTATAGCCATTTTTGTACTGCAGTTATTAGGAAGAAGATCTCAAGTCATTGGATGGATATCTGAAGGACAGCTGCCAGAGAAGATTTTAGCTTAACACCCATCAATTGCCAATTAAATTGTTTCCATGCCGATATATTTACTAAGCCTGGAAATTTAAAAAGTAAGATTGTATGCAGGGGCCGCGCCGTAGCTCAAGCGGTTAGTTGCTGATTTCCCACCGCGGCGGCCCGGGTTCGATCCCGGATCTGGTCAAGTGGGATTTGTGGTGGACAATGTGGCGCTGGGGCAGGTTTTCTCCAAGTAGTTGGGTTTCTCCTGCCAAATCTTCATTCCACCAATTGCTCCACATTCGCCCTCACCTATCATCTGAGTCTGGTACAATAGGCCAGAAGTGGCCGCAGTAGAAGGGACTTAGTCCCACCCCGCTAGCAATAAAGAAGATTGTATGCATCTTAGTAATAGGAGCTTATAAAGAAAACAAATGACAAATTATCTGTAAAATTTAATATCCGGGAGACCGAAACCTATTTAACAGATCAGCTGTACTTACCTGGAAGACATTTCGTCCAGTCGCCACTCATAACGAAGAATTCCTCACAGACGCATGCTCTAATTTCTGTACTGCAGGTGGCATGCTCGAAGCATGTTTGTGCTGCAACTTCGCATGGGGGCCCTGGCAGCATCCCAGAACCGCTCACTATAAACATAAATCAGATGCTAATGTGACAATGTTGGTCTGGTGTGTTCGAGCCTAACTGAACTTCATGATAGTTGTCCTCAGTTGCTCTATGTGAATGCCACGTTAGAACACTTAGTACAATCATTAGCGGCCTCCGTAGTCTAGGGGTAACGTTCCCACCTCATGACTCAAGAGACGCGGGTTACGGCACGTAAAAGATCTTCATGTCTCTAGGAGGCCTCTGAGCAAAATTAGGCAAAAAGTTTCCCGCCCAAGTAGTTTCCAATGCCTCCGGTAGATCGGGAAGCATCGGGAACCACTGCCAGCTTCGCTGGCTGAACGGGGCTGATAGAGAGCACCAGTACCGGCAGGGTATGGCGACTGGTAGAATATCAAAGGGGGACGTACAATAGACTATTAATTGCGGTGTATGGGGAAATCCACCCCCCAATAATAATAATAATAATAATACAATCACTTCCTCCTCAAACGCTTCTCTAGGCCTACATAATCATCATTCAAACACACATACATGGCGTTAAATAAAGTCAGAAGATGATACAATGTCGTTTAAGTAATGAATGATTCACATCATCAACATTTTCTGAAGTACTGCTGAGCGGTTACAAAATTAACTACCTAACTAACTAACTCAGTGAAGCTAATCCTCGAGAAGTCACAATCCGCTTAGCTACTCAAGAATTTCCCAACAATTTTTAAGCCAGAAAATTTATTGCGAGCTGCATGATCTACCCATATTTTCCTCCTTGACTTCATAATTGTAATTATGTCTGGTGAAGTGTACAAGTTAAGAAGCTCCTCATCACGAAATTTTCTCCAACCTCCTGTCACTTCATCCCTCTTCGTTTCAAATATTCTTCTCAGCACCCTGTCCTGAAACACCTTCAGCCTGTGTTCTGTTGAGCGGTTAATATTCAGGAGGCCCCAAATTTGATTCTCGACACGAAACCGAGCCTCCCTCACCTCCATCCCCCACAGCAGACTATCCTAAAGAAAGGTTAACCTGCACTACATTTCATTGAGATGCCACGTTTTAATATTTCCGTCTTATCTAAATCCAGATCTCAAATTTCGTCTTCTACCTTTAGGTTTTCAGATCAAATGTTTTATGTGTATTTCTCGTCTCTCCGACGTTATGAATAGTAATTAAAACTCTGTATTTTTACGTTGATTTGATTTGTGAAGCAGCTTGGTTTGTACGTCTATGTTGTGGTCTAATCGAAGTGCTCGGTAGGAATTGTTCGGCTCTTTACTCCCAGATACCATAGCTTTCGTGGATGTGTAAATCGCTAACCACAAGCAGCAGGTGTGCTGCAATCGGGCCTTTCAGATAACATTTGAACAGGTGTTGGACATGAGAGGGATTTATCAATTAATTACCCTATCACGGGCAGGGGATCTAGAATAACTGAGATGAGTAGTAATTTTATCAAATAAATCTCTTGTCTTTTTTTTTTCATTGGCGCTACAGCCCTCATTTGGGCCTAGGCCTACCTCCATGAAACTCTCCGTTTCACTTCGGTTTTACCAGATCTAGTAGGACTCCTTGGGCTGGTGATCAGCTCGTCACAAGGCCTCTACCTGTACACAAACACAGAAAAACGCACACAAGCATCCATGCTCTGAGTGGGATTCGAACCCACGATCCCGGCTTCCGAGTGAACGAAGACAGTGCATGCCTCTCTTGTCCTTACTTTTCATAATTTTGTTATTTTTGTTTTAACTGGAGAATTCGTTACCAACAAACACAAATTAAACGTTACCAAGACACAATTCATCAAGTTATTTAAACAAGTTACTGACATTACAATTCTTCTGAGGAACACTTCATTGTTAACTATGCAGTTCTTTTCAACAGCAGACCCACAAGGAAGTAACAAGCGGTTAGAGAAAAATGTTTTTTTTCTTTCTATATTATATTATTGTCGGTCACGATGCCCTCGCGATCTAAGGTATGAACTGTCTTCTCACGTTCGAATGCTGGGATCGTGGGTTCGAATTCAACTCCACGCATGGATCTGTGTGTGTGTGTTTAATTTGTGTTTGTGTTGTTCTGCTTGTAGGTAGTGGCCTTGTGACAGTCGGATCCCCCGGCCGGAGTCCTACCGATTGCGTATAGGATTAAGAAACTGAAAAAGCGGCTAAGGTCATACAAAGGACTGCTGAGCCATAAAGAGCTCGATAGATACTCAGTATATTGTAACATGTGACAAAGTCGACTGAAATTAGATGATGGGGGACGAAGCATATATTGGAGATATAAGAACCGCACACAGAATTTTAGTTAAGCATATTATCGTACTTCGCTGTTTAATACAGGGCTACTATAAATGATTCATTTATTTTTAAAACTCTATATTTTCCAAAGTAATATACATACAAATATGATTGATATATAAAAAGAACCATAACTCACCATGTTTGTATTATATGCACCAGTTGGCAGCACGAGGTCAGTGCCTTTACAAAATGGCGACAAAGCAAGAAAAGAGTTTTTGTTTCTTGGAATATGCGAGATGTTCGTCTGCTATAGCAGTGCAACGTGCATTCAAAAGAGATGTATAGTGATGTAAGACTGTTTTTTTGATATAAATTTAACACATGTTTTTTAATCTCTTTTAATGATTATAAACTATACATATATATTTATATTTGTATTGTACTATATTAATTATGTGACTGGTTCTATATCTATGTATATGGATTTATGGAATATACAATAAATGAATGAATGAATGAATGAATGAATGAAATTACAGAAAAGTACCTCCATGTAAACAAAGCATTTTGCGGTGGTATCGGCAATGTTCGTCGCTACCTAAACAATGAACTTCGTCATCGTTCTATTGGGCGTGTTGGTGAGGATGATGTAACTCTGTTCACTTGGTCCTCCAGATCACCTGATCTAACGCCTTGTGATTTCTTCCTTTGGGGGCACATTAACGATCGTGTTTACGTACCCCCACTGCCAAGAACACTAGTAGAGCTGAGGGAACGCAGATGCAGTGATGACCATTGACAGAATGATGCTAAAAAATGAGTGGAACGAGCTCGACTACCGCCTGGACGTGTGTCGTGTGACCCAAGGGGCACACATAGAATATTTGTAGAGTGTAAAGAAAACTTAGCGAGTTTAGGGTTCTTTTTATGTATGAATCATGTTTGTAAGTATATTGCTTTGGAAAATGTAGCGTTTTAAAAACGAATTAATCATTTATAGTAGCCCTGTATTACAAGAGCTACATAAACCTATTCAGAATAGTTCTCCTGTCTGTTGCTTGGTGTAATTCGATGTAAGACTTAACAGACATAATGTGTAACGATATCTTTTATTACGTGCTACAATTTAGCGAACGGTGTGAATATAATTCTTGCTAAATCTTACTTGGTATTAACGGTCCGTGTCGTCTTCTAAATTTTCCAGGCAATTCCTCGTATCGTATCGTTGCAGCAACGCAGAAACTAAAATGATTGATTTGCTCTTTCTAATAATGATAGAGTCAAGGAAGATTCGATGGGTAGGGTATGTAGCACGCATAGTGACAAAAATGTCTTATGTAGGATTTTGATGAGAAAGCCGGAAGGAAAGATAGCATTAGTATGACCTAGGCGTATGAGAGCGATAATATTAAACTGGATCTTAAAGAGACAGGGTGGGTTGGTGTGGAATGGATTGATCTGGCTCAGGATACGGACCAATAGAGGGCTCTTGTGAACATAGTAATGAAATTTCGGGTACCATACAACGTTGGGAAATATTTGAGTAACTCAACAAGTTGCTGAAGAAGGGCTCAGCTCCTTGGAATTAGATAGTTTGCATTTTCTACTATAAGACAGTGTTCCGCGTTTTATGCAACAATCCACGAACGGGTAGGTAATTCTGTGAAAGCAAGGAGCTTCTGCTTCACAATGAAAGAAATATTTTTCGGTATAATATAAAGTTAATTACTGTCAATACGAACCCAACGATCCAATGCTGAGCAACCAGAAGAGACCAGCTCTATATTTCATCATGACACCTTGAAGAGTCACATTCCTCGACTGCACATGACACGTTAAGACTTCTTCTTCTTATCTATATTCGACTTCGTCATTATGGAGATGTTGGCTGATAAATCTAAAGATTTTATTAAGGCGAAACACAGAGAGATGGAAGCAAGACTTATAGATAACACACCTGCATCTGTAATGAAATTGATTATTCGTAGATATGTAGAATTAGTTCACTAACTGATTTCTTATATTTAAGTTCACTAATCAAGATCAAAGATTATAAACGAGAAAAATTGGAACAAGGTAAATAATGTAATGAGTTTTAACTTCAGGATGAGGCAGAGATATAAAGTTAGAGATGAGTAGAAATGCAGAAAAATTAACTGGTTTCTTGCTTGGCTCATTCTCCAACCCTGCAGATAGGGGCGATATATTCCTCCTAAACGTCGGTTGATTGTCGACAAACTACACGGCGTTATACCCAGAAAAGAAAAATTTTCATCCTTCAGAAACGTAACTACAAAAGCAGAGCAATGCAAACAAAAAAAAGAAGCAGATATACGAGTATATACTTGCCTCGAGTGGGATTAGAACCCACGATCCCAGTATTCGAGGGTGCAAAGACATTTCTTGCCTCATAGCGCCTGGCCACTCTGAACTCCTTTCAAGTTTCTATTTCAAACAGGTATAAGCATCTGTTGGGAGTAAAGAAAATTATGCCTCATTTATCTCGTCTCTTAACACTTCTTAAAAAAATATCAGAATAAATTCTGAATATTTATGCCGTTTATGCTCCGAAGGACTGGAGGTCGCGTGATCAGCATAGCAGTGCGTGTCACATTCACATGGATTAGCTGTGTAGACTTCATGGAATGTTTCATTAAAACTTGCCCATGTGCATTATTAAAAAGAATTAAACTGAGGAAGATAAATAAAAAAGTGGCGCAGTTTGCTGGTAATCTCGCAGTTTACATACTTCCCAGTTTTACAATAATCGGGGCAAGGTAGGGCGAGCCCAACACCAACTCTACATTGGACAGTAGGGGAGAAAGACGGGGCTTCACCTCCACGAGAATTTCGAATTTGCACCAAAAGTAGCAAAAGTTTCCCAACTCCGGAGACTTGAAGGATTACGAACTAGATTCATACTCATGTCATGTGGGGACATGAACTCGTGCTGTTTAGAGTAGTTCCACATTTAGGATTATACCAAAGATGAAGGCTGGTTGTTTCTTCGAAAAGGTGATAGTCCCGTACCAGACTGCATGGCGTTAAATCCTCGAAAGTCGCAGTCCTAATGTTCACCATCGTCAGAACCTCAGATTTCATGGAGTAGGTTGATTATACTCGTTGTTGTCATCACCACAATAAGCTTTCACTGTCTCAATTGCTATTGTCGTTTTTATTTTATTTATTTGTTTGTTTATTTATGGTTTATTTAATGTCCCTGTCGTCGGAGTAGCCCAAATATTGAATAATTTTTCCGCAGTAGAGTATAACTGAATTAAGTGTTCAACTTAGAATCTATATATGCAACATTTATAAATCGAGAGGTTTGTTTATAAAATTGTTATTATCTATCGTTTTCTATTCTGAATTGAGTTCTTTATATATATTGTCTTTTATTTCTCTTATAACTATTTTTTAAATAATAGCTTAAAGATGTCAAGATTTATCATTGATTGTACTGTACTTACTAGAACTTCATACATTTTCTCTCTAAAATTCTGTCATAATAAATAATTAATCACCCTAATCAGCAGAGTAGCAAGCCTATTTAATAAAGGAACACAACTTTCAAACCTAAATATTATCCACATGTAAAGATACGGACTGCAGACTGCTTTTGTTTGAAATGAATGCGAGGGAACACGAGATCATCTGAATTCCCTCCCTGGACATTTCGCCATAATTTGTAGCGTTATTTCGTCGTACAGAATTTGATCCAGGATTCAGTGTTCAGTTTTCATTTTTCCGCAAGGATTGTTGTGTTGGCCTTTGTTTCATACGGATATGAATGTGACCCCTTTATCATAAAGTGTAGACAAATTACATCAGAAAATTGTGAGCGGAGTTGAACGAATTGTACAATAAATTGATCCAGATCGAACAAATAATATATTTTTATGTAAAAAGTAAATTTATTATATGAATTTAGATAGGAAACAGCTTGATTCAAAATATGTTTCGAAAATAAATTTCGGAAAAGTCATGTGCATATTACGTCCTTCACGCCGACTTATCCTTTCGTCCTGAAGTAGAAGAATCCAAATGATCCTATCATATTCTTGTGGACATACACTAACTTTTGTTGAACACTATTAAATTTATTCTAGTTTAGGCAATACGAAAGGTAGAAAAGATAAAACTATCCCTGTAGCAGGCCGTGGAGGCCCATAGGATTTTGAGACGTCGAGGCTCCCACATTTTCTAGAAAATCGGCTCACAGATGACAGTGAGATTGTCAGCTTTACGCGCCGGCCGCCCTTTACTTCCAGGAAGATACCTGGTACTCATTTCTGTTAGTGGCTGAGTCGACCCCAGGACCATAGTGTGGCCGGAAGAATTAGGTAAATTGAAAAATCCAGTGACGACATCAGGAATGGAACCCGCGATCTCCCGACTTGTAGCATAGTGTCTCAACCAACTAAGCTGCCATCTGCCTCAGTTTAGGCAATATATGCACTGTAATTTAGTAAATAAAGAAATATTATATGCATTTTCTGAACCTCATGACAAAGACAAACTTTACGTACAAATTTACATTATGCGAGTATTAACATGTACGTGGTGTAAGTGAACTTCAATGCAATACCTTCAGTGACCATGTAAATTAAGGGCATAACTGAAACCTTTGATGTGTCCCTTTAAACGTTATACAGTTTCTGTTACGATTTCATAAAGTGTATAGACATTATAGGTCTACAATTATTAATATGAAAGTTGTAAATTATTTCAATCTTTATTGGAGTTCTGACTCCTCATAAAATATTTAAAGTTCACAAATATACCGCACCATTATTTGAAAGAAATTGGATATTTTCTTGGACAGGAGGAGGACGGGTTTCTGATGCGTAAAAATTGGCTGTATGGAACTTACGTTATCATAATCATCAAACTCAAGATCTTTCCGTCTCTATTTGTTCTGTTCATCGATAAGACAGGCTGGGTACGCGTATCGTTATTTCGGACGTCCGGTTGATCTTGTTACTCTGGGTGTATGGTCCATTAACTGTTTTGGGATGAATCCAGTCAGGTCTACTGTCCTCAATTATACTTGTATTTAAATTGAATTTTTATCATAATTCCCTTATCTTTAAAAAATGAAAGTATGCGATATCCATACTGTCTATGTATCTGTGTACCCCCACTATCAGATTTCCAGTAATTGAATCAATCATTACAAAACTGGGTAAGTACCATTGCATCTGAGCCAATTTCAACAGCGTAAATGTAAGAGAAAGGTAAAGCCATTCCTGTTACAGGCTCTGGAGGTCCCTTTTAAATTTGACACGTTGAGGCTCCCACGTTTATCTAGATATGCATCTCACAGATGGCGATGAGGTTGTCAGCCTTACGCGCCGGCCGCCCTTTACCCCCCAGGAACATTCCTGGTGCTCATGTCTGTTAGAGGTTGAGTCGACCCTAGGACCATAGTGCGACTGGATTAGGTCAATTGAAAAATTTAATGACCTCATGGAGAATGGGACCTTCGACCTTCCGTCTTGTAGCATAGTGCTGTATTGTGTTTACTTTGTGCTAGTGTGTCCTTTTTTGTTTGTGTAGAATTTGTGCTGTTTTTTATTGAGTGTGGTGTGTTATTTTGAGTGATGTATGTTATTTGTGTGTTGTGTCTTATTGTAGTACCACTGCCATCGGGCAAAAACCCATTAGCAGTTTAAAAAAATAATAATAATTAATAATAATAATATTGCCTCAACCAGCTACGCTACCTCGTGCATCTCAATGGCATCCTTCATAAATTCCTCCCATCAACTTTTGTGTCTAGACGCGTAACCTTCGCATTCTTGCTATTTTCTCTCTCTGTTTACAGACTTTCCCCGCTTCCTAACGCTGCCAAGGGACAAGTTTCTTTACCAGAACACCTCTGGAGAATATGATCTCTAAAACTACGATGGAATTAACATGAGTTCTGCAAACGAAAAAGAAACCTAATCATTGCTGAAATATTTTCATTTTCCTTCGTCTCTCTACCATGGCTATACCTGTATTTCTTATTTGATTTTCTTTACATCGTCATTTATGTTGTCGATCATGTGCAGACTGCAGAATGATCTGAGGTCTTAAAGATGGTGGGGATTTCAATTTTGATCCTTTGGGTTACGACATCACGCAGTCTGGCAGGTGGTTACCAAAGTCTCTCATCGAGGTGACGAGACGACACGTGGGAAAGATAAGAAATGCGTACACGATGTAGTCGCGAAACCTGAAGAGAGGTTTTAAGGAAAGGGATTTATGGACATGTGCCAGATTATTATGTTTCAGGATAAAGTTCGGTACTGGGCTCTTTTTTGCACAAGGCAACGACATTTCCGGTTAAAAAAGAGGGAGGAATTTATTGACTAGCTGAATGATTATTAAGTTCTCAGACAGGCCTCTGCACCTTAAATCCAGTCAAGACACTTTTCCTGTGTTTGTTGAAAATATATTTATCCCTATATTCCAAGGTCATCAGTACATTGTGCATCGCAGTAGATTTCATAGGGACCTGTACGAATGTAGATATTTGCACGAGTGGTATGAAAACGAGTTCCTTGATTCTGCGGCCTCAGATGAGTCTACTGGACCAGACCCGGATGAGAGATCAGTAAGAAGCGCTGGTGAAATTACAACTGGTAAGAAAACCCGGAGTTCACAGAAGAAAACCAGTTCCAATGCACTTATCTGCTACAAATCTGCGATTGAAACTCGGCCTCCACCATTAAAGAAGCCAGACACTAACCACTTGAGCAGTCAAGTCAAGAAGAGCTGCCTTATTATTATAACTCTACACAATATCCACTCAGGAGTTAC